TAATAGATAACACTTCTGTATGGAACAAATAACGGAAAACTGACTAGAAAAATAAGGTTGAAATGATTTTGAGGCAACTGACAAATACTCCTATTTTATGCAATAATATTATATAATAATATTAAGATGAAATTTGCTTTCATATTCAGTTTTATATACCTATCTACCTCTTCCAATGCTGTCTCTAAGTTTTGTCAACTGTGAATTGGGAATAATAACACCTGCTGCTTCTGGATTCTATTTAGATTACGTGAGATAATATATATGACATGTTAGCATAATATCTGGCACACTAAGTAAACAACACACTATGGCTCAGTAATTGCTACCTTTCCATGGAAGTAAATAAGCCAGAAGTAAGCAAGCTGAATTGTATATGACCTCATATTGAAGATTTACATAAAATCTTTTGATCAATAAAGTCTCAATATTTTGTTTACGGCCTGATATCTAAAGATGAAGAACTTGAGGGCTTACTTAAGGCAAGAGGGTTGGGGTAAAAATCCCTGTCGCACTCCCATGTGAGGACAAATAAGGAGCATTGTATGATTAAAGGCAAGGGCCAATCATGAGTATTGGGGCACAGTCCACAGGAAGTCTTCCACCAGGTTACTTCGGTAAGAAACAGCTGCAAAATTCTCTTTCAGCATCACTGGTGTAGTAAACCTTCCATGATCAAGAGACTTATTTAATTAGCAATAACATCCAATCACATACCTGTATGCCATCTGTTTGACTGAGGTACAGCTGGATGTTAACATAGTCAGGCCTGTTCTCTTGCCAAAACTGAAGGGACATAAAAATGAACAGACTTATTAAAATTCTTTCTCTGTAGTCAGACTTTCTTCTATTCTGTCGTATATAATTCTAAAATCTGTTAACATATGCCCTGGCTTACCACAGCCAACAACTTTAAGCAAGTTGATGTATGTGATGGGGATTCAAAACATTTATAGAAAAAATGGAATAAAATGATAGAGGAACTTTTCATGACCATTTCGAAGCTCCTCATGTCCAGGTACACAAACATACACATGGACACATGAACACACATAGTTAGCGTGCTCCTTAAAAGACCTGTCTTTTAAGAAAACATTCTCTTAAAATCACCTCCTGTACTTTGAACACCTTGCCACGAGAGATCAGGCCCTAAAGAAGGGCATCAGGCTTGGTAAACTGGAAGGTCAGCAAAAAAAAAAAAAGGAAAATAATGAACAAGATAAATTGACAGTGCTTCAATAACGGGCTCAAACACAGCAAAGGTTGTGTCGATGGTGCCCATCGGGAGAGCGTTCCTCTCTGTTGTATGTAAGGTGTCTGAGAGTCAGTAGGACACTTAACTTTTTAGCAACAGACACCTAAAACACTATATGACACTTTTTACTCGTTTAATGTTTCTGGTTTTCTATTCAACAACCTATATGGATGAAATTACAGTCTCCTTTCCAAACTCAATGTTCTTCTAGCTTATACTAATGTCTGTTTTTCTTGAACTGAGTGAGAAAAATAAAACAACATATATTATTATAAAAATGTGAGTACTGACAATGAGTCAGTACAACACTGAACAACATTCTTGTATACCTATGTATATATTGTAACATTAATAACGTATTCATGGTGATAAAAAGGAATC